CCATTCTGTTTTCCTAATATGTGAGTTCACAGATATGAATTTCCCTCTGAGAACTGCTTTCATCGTATCCCATAAATTCTGATAAGTTTGCTTGAATTTTCATTCAATTGTAGATATTGTTCAACTTCTTATCTAATTTCATTTTTAACCCATTATTTGCTGAGTACAGTGTTGTTTAATTTCCATATAATTTGTGGGTGTTTTCTGTCTTCTTGACTCTTTTATTTCCACTTCCATTGCACTGTGGTCAGATAATATGCATGGAATAATTTCTGTTTTCTTGCATATATGTAAGCATGGCCTATGGATCAGTATGTGGTCTATTTTAGAAAATGACCCAAGTGCAGCTGAAAAAAATGTATATTGAGCTGTTGTTGGGTGGAGCACTCTGTATATGTCCACTAAGTCCATTTTTTTCAAGCTCTGGTTCAGTTCTGCTACTTCTTTGCTAATTTTTTGTCTGGTTGACCTATCTTTTTGGAATAAGGGGGTGTTAAGGTCTCCTGTTAAGATTGCGGTATTGGATATTAGATATTTCATGTCCATTAAGATTTGTTTTATATAGTTGGGTGCTCCTGTGTCTGGTGCATTCACGTTTATGAGTGTTACCTCTTCCTCTTGAATTTTTCTGCTAACCAGTATATAGTGGCCTTCTTTATTTCCCTTTGATCTTTCTTGGTTTGAAGTTGAGATTGTCTGAGAATAGGATTGCTACCCCTGCATTTTTCTGAGGTGATGGGGTGTGTAGTATTTTTCTCCATCTTTTGACTTTCAGCCTATGAATGTCTTTATGAGTTAAATGTGTTTCTTTTATACAGCATATTGTTGGATTTTGTTTCCTAATCCACTGTGCCAGTCTATTTCTCTTAATTGGTGAATTGAGTCCATTTGTATTGATGATTAGAATTGAGATATATTGACTTATGATTGACATGTTATTTACCTGTTGTTGTTTATTCCTTTTTCTCCTGTGTTTAATTTTTTGCCCTATTTAGTTGGCTGCTTCTGATCTCATTTGTGGAGTTCTGATCATTTTGGTCCCCCTGTAGAAAATCTTTCAGTAGCCTGTGTATGACTGGCTTTGTCATCATGAAATTCTTTAGTTGTTCTTTGTCTTGGAAGTATTTCACTTCTCCATCAAACTTGAAAGAGAGTTTTGCAGGGTGTAGTAGTCTGGACTGGAATTTGTTTTCATAGAGGACTTGAAGTACTCTGCTCCATGCTCTTCTTGCCTGCATGGTTTGTAAAGAGAAGTTGGCCATAATTCTGATGGGTTT